CTGTGTGTGTGTGTATATATATGTATATGTATATGTGTATATATATATATATATATATATATATATATTTAAACTGGTACCCAAGTTGATAACAAAGCTATGGATTACCATGCATGCTAAAGAGAGACATCAATTTTACATAAAGACTTATTTTAGTAAAATTTCACCTACCACCCATGACAAATAAATGTATATAAAGGGAGTCTTAGTTTACTTAGAGACTTTAGTATTAAAATATATTAAGAGAATTATAGAAAAAATTGTGGATTTCTACTTTTTTTTTGGTACCAGGGATTGAACTCCAGTCCTTGTGCTTGCACAGCAGGTGGCCAAACCACTGAGCTAAATCCCCGGCCCTTGGATTTCTACTTTTCCGCTAATGGAAAGAAAAAGAAGTACTTCTTTCCTCAACTAGTTATGCAAATAAAGCTTCAGAAAGAAGCATATGGTCTATATTTTCTGGAATTCAGAAGATGTAGATTCTTTAACTGACAACGCCTGAGAAATTTCTATAGTAGCGAGATCTGAACAGCCTTTGGTGGCAGAGTGAAGACAGCAGAGGAGTGAGCATGTTATTGACTTTGACCAAACACAGAATAAAGATGCTTGCTTGCTGAGAGCAAACGCGGAACTCTGAAAGAAATGGAGAAAAGGTGAAGAAATGCTTGCAAGGCAGGCAGCGGAACCACTGAGCTAAATCCCCGACCCCCTTTTCATGCTACAGAATTCTAGGTTAAGGCAGGCCTGAGCTACTGGAAATGTGAAGCTTTAAATTGCTTTAAAATCAAAAGTTTCTCATAATAACAAGACTGAAATTTGAAATCTGTAAAAAGAAAAAAAATGAGCCTACATGTTAATATTACACATGATGACCAGAACAGTGACTCCATGTGCCTCAGCTCTTCTCCAGATGCAGAGAAGAACAAGTTGTCAGGATGCAAAGAACAGTATGCAGACAACAGCTGGTTTTGCCTGCATTGTGTTGAGTTCACCTCATTCTCGATAAAACAGTTCCACAGATAATAAATAAAGCAGGACTGAATCCATCCAGTCATAATGAAAATTCTATTGACCTATGTGCAAAATAGATACTGAAGTTATTTTCCTTACATTTTGGGGGGAAAATTGTGCTGAGTTAGTCATATGCTTACTTTAGTAGAAATGAGAATGTTCTAATAATACCCTAAATAATTCATCATCAAGACATTGTATTTTTATACCATGTACTTTTATAAATTCTCAGTAGTGAACAAATAAATCTTTTTGTTTTTCCGTATTCCTCTGGCCAGCTAAATCTTTTTCCTTCAAAATAACTCATTTGGACAGAAAGTTACCTCCCACGTAATGACGAGCTCATATCGACCTCCTCCACCTCCATTGATGTTTACCGGTGCCAGGACAGGAACTAAAAGTAACCAAGAGAGATGTGGGATGGAAATTGCTACAGGATGCCTTCATCAAGAAGAATTTTGTTTTTGGATTTCACCTTTCAAAATCTCACCCAGGCACACTGAGAGAGTCTTGCATTTTTAATGAACATAAATTATGTTTACACATATCCAAATTTCTAAGAGAGAGGACACAGTTGTGTTTGATACATGAGCACCCTGGCTCCAAAATTAATTAAAAATCGAGTAACATCATGTATTTGACATTATTATGCATCATCTGTTAATTGGCAAAATGATGTTCCATTCAGATGGTAACTGTGACACTGCTGATTTAGTGCCTAATTATACAGTTGTGCTGTAAACAAGTTACTGAGACAGGATATTAATTATTTTTATCAATACACAAACTAAAATAACTTTCTCTTTATTAGCTATCAACATATTTTAACATTTAAAAATAAATTTTTCAAACTTAATTTTTATTTGAAAACCCTATATTTGAATGTCAAATCTCACAGGTGAGAATAAGAGGGACTTTTAAATTTACACTTAGAAAATATCAGCGTTTTCTTCTGTAAAGAATGCAGCTATGAGAAGAGTCCCTGTATTTATCTCTTGGATCTAAGGCTCTGTCACAGAATATTTAGAAATTAATAATTATGATGAATTAGAAAAGAAAGATGTCTTTCAACTACACCTTCCTGATGGCTAGTAATAAATAATATACAAGGTGAATTGTAAAATTGATGACAATGACTAGTGTGTATACTATACATTAGTCAGAATGACTAGTGTACTATACTAGTGACTATAGTATACTATAATCAGAATGAGGCTTCACTACATACATGTGGAAGTGTTAAAAAATTATTTCCTTCACTCAGTGGCAAAGATATAGTATCCTAAATACAATTAGAATGGATAAACTTGCTGGGTATGCTGTCAAAAAGTTGAATGACATGAAATTATTTATATGGGACTCTGTTTGACCAGTATCTAAGGATGGGGATGGAAATATGTAGATATCGTTGGAGCCTGGGAGATTAAAATATGTAAGGCTTAATTGCTCATTTCAAATTTACCCCACCATAGAGACTAAAGAAATCTATGTCATTTATTTAGTTTATTTTGATTTCATATGAAGCCTAACTCTATCAACAAAATTGTGATATGATTGTTATTTTTCAAAATGACATCTGCCTTGCATGCAATTTTGTATTCAAATTTACCCTTATTTTTTTCTGCTTACAACCTTATTTTCTGTCTTTTGTAATTAATTAAGTTTACTGGTATATTTTAGATATACATAATAATCACATTCATCATAGGGAATTTGTATTTGTACATGATATATATTGATTTTTTTTCCTATTCTCTTCCCCTCCCTTCAACCCCTCATCCCCTTCTTATTTACAAAAATTTTGTTTCCATTTTTCCTTCTTTTCTCTTTTTTTTCTTTCCCTCCACCCCTCCTTAGTTCCTCTTCCCATTTGAACTATGATACATTTTTGTCCTTATTTACATTTTCAATTCCTCACTCCAGAGAAACAATGCAATATTTACATATGTATGTCCGATTTATTTCACTTAAGAGTATGGTCTCATGGTGCATTTATTTACCTGGAAATACCTCAAGTTTATCTTTCTTTATGGCTAAGTATTACTCAACTGCATAAAAAAATCCACATCTTTTTTACCCATTCATTCATTTATGGGCATTTGGGCTGTTTCCAAGATTCAGCTATTACAAACTATGCTGCTATGAACATGAGTCTGCATATATTGCTGGTATGATGCTTTTAATTCTTTTGGGATGATACCAAGAAGCAGAAAAGCAGGAAGCAGGGTCAAATGGAATCTCTAGTTCTAGTTTTTTGAGGAGTCTCCATACTAATTTTCACAGTAGCCACATTAGTCTACACTTCCACCAGCAGTGGAGAAGGGTACCTTTTTCCTCACAGCCCCTCTAGCAATTTTTATTGGTTGATTTCTTGATAATAGCCATTCTTTCTGGAGTGAGATGGAAGCTCAGCATTGTATTAATTTGTATCTCTCAAATGACCAGTGAGGTTGAACAGTTTTTCATATATTTATTTGCCATTTTTTTGATTGGGTCTTTAAATTTAGGGGGTGTGATTTTTTTTTAAGTTCTTCATATATTCTAGATATTAATTCTTTGTCTGAGGAACAGCTGGCACAAATTTTTTACCATTTTGTAGGTTGTCTCTTCACTCTGCTGCTTTCTTTTGCTATGTAAAGGCTTTTTAATGAGATGCCATGTAATATTTCCCATGCAACTGGGGTTTTGTTCATGAAGTCTTTTAAAGCTATATCTTCAAGAGTTCTACCTATTTGGTCTTCCAGCAGATTTAGTGATTCTGTTTTAATATTTAATCTTTGATCCATTTTGATTTCAGTTTAGTGCATGGTGAGAGACATGGGTCTAGTTTTAGTCTTCAGCATGTGGAAAGCCAGTTTTTCCACCACCATTTATTAAAGAGGCTATCTTTCTTCCAGTAAAGGTGTTTGGCCCCTTTCTTGAAGATAAGGTAGCTGAGTGTTTTGAATTGTTTCTGAATATTCTAATCTGTTCCATTGATTCACAGCTCTATTTTATTTTTTTTTTGCCAGTGTCATGCTGTTTTTTTATCACAGTAGCTTTGTACTATAATTTCAAGTCAGAGATTGTGATACCCCCTGCCTTGCCTTTGTTGCCCAGAATTGTTTTTGCTATTCTAGATCTCTTCTGGTTCCAATTGAATTTTAGGAATTTTTTCCCTAATTCTGTGTGGTATACTATTCTTATATTGATATGGATTGCATTAAATTTGTATAACAATTTTGGGAATGTGGCCTTTTTCACTATGTTGTTTCTTCCTATCCAAGAGCAAGGGGTATCTTTCCATTTTCTGATATCCTCTTCGATCTCCTTTTTCAGAGTACTGTAGGTTTCAATGTGAAGATCTTTTACTTCCTTGGTTAGATTGACTCCTAAGTATTTCAATTTTTTTGATGCTATTGTATAAGGTATGATTTCCCTAATTTTTCTCTCTGTGAGTTTGTTATTTGTGTACAGAATGCTATTGAATTTTGAGTGTTGACTTTGTATCCAGTTACAAAACTGAATTTGGTCATTAAATCTAGAATTCTTTTGGTGGGGTTTTTAGGTCTCTATATAGAATATCATGTTATCTGCAAATAATGATAATTTAACATCTTTGCTATCTTTATGAGACAGAATGAAAGCATTCCTATGAAGGAAATTTATAGTGGTTAATTCCCACAACAAGAAAACAGAGGGAGGTCAAATAAATAACCTAAGGTTGTTTAGAATAAGAACAAGTGAAGCTCAAAGCTCGTGTGAGAGAGGAAATTATAAAGCAAAGAGCAAATATAAATGCAACTGAGATTAACAATACAAAGAATTAATAAATTGAAGAGTCAGTTCTTAGAAAAATTAAATAAAATTGACAAGCCCCTAGCCAACCTTATCAAAAAAAAGGAAAAAAAAAAGACTCAAATCCATACAATTAAGAATGAAAAGGGGAGGGTCAGGGATTTAGCTCAGTGGTTCTGCTGCCTGCCCTGCAAGCGCAAGGACCCGAGTTCAATCCCTGGTACCAAAAAAAAAAAAAAAAGAATGAAAAGGATGAAAACACAATAAATCCTGCAGAAATTCAGAAGATCATCAATACCCATTTTGAGAACCTATAATAAAATAAGATGGAAAATACAGAAGAAATGGGCAGATTCCTAGATACATATAAATTACCAAAGCTGAATGAAGGTGATATAAAATTCTAAATAACTCAATATCAATGAAATTGATCTAATTAAAAACCTACCAACAAAGAAAATCCTAGGTCCTGATTGATTCACCCTTGAATTCTATAAGAAATTTAGAGAAGATGTAATGCCACTACTCCTCAAAATCTTTAATAAAATTTAAAGGGATGCAATACTCCTAAACTCATTCCTGAAAGCAAGTATTAGCATGATACCAAAACCAGAGGAGGATCCAACCAAAAAAAAGAACTACAGGCTAATTTCCTTAACGAACATAAATGCAAAAATCCTCAATGAAATATGGGCAAACAATGCAGCAAATAATCGAGAAGATTGTATACCATGACAAAGTAGGATTCACCCCTGGGATGCAGGGATGGTTTAACATATGCAAGTCAATAAATGTAATATACCGTATCAACAGAGCTAAGGACAAAAATCACACGATCATCTCAATAAATGCAGAAGAAGCATTTGACAAAGCCCAACAGCCATTCATGATAAAAACTTTACAGAAAATTGGAATAAATGGTCTTATTCTCAATCTGATAAAAGCCACGTATGACAAACCAACAGCCAACATCATTCTAATGTAAAAAACTGCAAGCTTTCACTCTAAAATCAGGAACAAGACAAGGATGTCCACTATCACCACTCCTAATCGACACAGTTCTGGAAACAATTAGAGCAATTAGACAAGAGAAAGAAACAAAAGGAATAAAGACAGGAAAAGAAGTTAAATTATCTGCTTATGACTCTTAAAAGAGATCATTTGACTCTATGCCCTATTTTCTAAATTTTCTAAGTCTTTGGTCAAAAATAACATGAATCAGAGTAGAGTCTACATAGTTGCTGGGTTTATATACTTGACAGATTACATCGACACTATTTTAGGAACTTTTTATAGTTTATGCAGGGGAATTATTTGAAGCAGTATTTTAATTCACTAGCTCTCAGGTTTCTAATATTATGAGAAACAAATTTTCATTCCTTTCTCTATTCAATTTTTAAAGCAACTATACTTAAAACTAAGTATTATTATTAGAATTGAGTACCTTGTTATGATAATGACGATGACTGATGATAGAGAGACACAGATTTCAGCATGATACCAGAGAAATTGGTAAATCAGTAAGAATAAGTGTCACTCTCCCAAATGTCACTGCACAGGAAAGTGTTAATGGTTAGCAGAAGAAGACACAAAACATTTAATATAAGAGCTTCAGAATTTGGGTCAACTATGCCCAAACTCCTAAAATATAGATCAGCTGTTAAAAGAAACAACTGAAAACTAAAATTAATATCCGAGTCACGGGCCACACTTGGAGATTCTGATCCACCAGTTTTAAGGTAGGGCCTGGAAATTTCTGTATTTACACACTTTCCGTGGCTAATCTATTGCTCATGTAGTTTAAGACCCATTATTATTTGGAGAATAATAGTGTGCAGTTGTTGGTTGTTACTTCTGTCAGAAACAACTAGCTAACTTAGTCCTTCATTTTCCTCCTCTGTAAAATGAAGGAACTTCTCAATGCTAAACTTCTAGCATGATTTAATATGATGCTATTGCCAAGTATGTTATTTTCCTAGCCTCAATCCTAAGAAAAAAATATTACCTTATCTTTAGTATAAAAATTGAATGATTGAAACCTGATGATTTTTCACACTCTCTTGAATTAGTTTGCATTTGTTGAACTAAGCTAACAACAATGAAGTAGGCCTACATTTATACGGAGGAATGAGAATATGACTGGTGAGCTGCACACTGTGACCATATCTCATGGTACCCTGGATGTGAAAGTCTGAGTGAAACAAAGAAGATCCACTGACAAGAATTTAAGAAGACCTAATTTCAAGGTAGGTTCTACTTATGTTCTGTTGTTCAGTGAACCAGTTGATGTTCGATTAGCACTTCTGTTAAATGAGTTCAAGATTTACCTCAAGATTTGCAAGTGGAGGAATTTATACTTTTGTTTAATCAAGCCGTTACTAGGTTAGAGTTGAGTAACAGATGAAAAAAAGTATGGCTGACTGCACCAGAGACTCAATTAATTTTTGGCTATAACATTTTAATGAAATAAGTATAATTCATTTAAATACTAACCTTCAGATTCTCAATTGGATTTTGGATAGAAAATAGCTAAGATACACATACAGTTTCTGAAATATTCTTATTTTGCAATGCCTACTTAAAGGTCATAATCTCATATGCAACCCATTATGTGAGGGAAATAGAGTTGTCTTGTGAGTATAAAAACGTGAAAATGAGAGCCTTAAAAAAGAGATTACTGCCTCCAATGTTGATCCTCAAATAGTAAAAGACTCATAAAACACTTCTTTTTCTGAAGAATTGTATCATAAAGAATCTACATGTTTAGGAAACATTTATTTCTTACCTGATGCTTTAGTTCTTAACAGTTTTGATGGTTTACTTGGTTCTCCAATCCCAATGCTGTTACCGGCAACAACACGAAATTCATACTCCACCCAAGAACTCAAACCAACCACTGTTGCATTGTATGTCTGACCATTGAGAATTTCTGGGACTAGAAAGAAAGGGATGCTTATGGCAATCAACTGGCATTAGTAGAAAACGAATAACTGTACAAAATTATTGTTACATTTTAAAATGATAAAATTTTATTATTAATGTTAAAAAGCATATTAGTAAAAAATTTTCCAGAAACACCTGTGTCACCTGTCGCAACAGCTTGCCAACCCACAGAAAACGGTGTCCGAGTCTGCACAGTAAATATCTGAATGGGACTGTTATTGTCAGGGCCTGGTCTCCAGCTTATCTGAGAGGTAGTGCTGGAAATGTGCTCCACTCTCACATCCTCTGGGGGACCTGGGGGACCTTGAAAGAAATATTGTATGATGACTATAGTGGAGATGTTTAAATTAAGTGACTTCAGACAAGGATGGTTTATTTTTATCTGTTATGCAGGGAAAACAAAACATTGATAATAGTGTGTTTGTAGCACATCATTAAAGGTTAAGTCCTATTAATTCAGTTTACAGAGTAAAGTGTTAATTTACAAATGCTCCCTCTGGAGACTATAAATTGCCAGTCATGAGGTGATTGAATGCCATCTGAGATGGAATGAATTTCAAGAATCTCATCCTTTAATTTCTCTCAGAATAACAACAACAAAAATAATGAGAAAAGAAAGATAAAATAGAAGCAAAGCTTTTGTAAATAAGGAGGGGAAAAAGAGTTAAAGGTAGGAGAGGGAAATGGGAAAAAATAAGAATCAAGATATATCATGTACAGGTACAAATTCCATATAATGAATATGATCAATATGCATATCTAAATTGTACCAATAAACTTAATAAAAAACAGAAATCTGGGGTAAAAAACAAAATAAAAACGTCTAACACCAGCAAATGCAGTAGATGAACACAGGAGCATGTGGAGTTCACTCTGCTATTACAGGAATAGTTTATTATGAATGAGAAGATAGTCTATTTTAGGGACTGACACTGTTTGTCAAGTCTGAGCAAGCATTCTGAACAGACAAAAACTACTCAATTCATGTTCACATGCATAGTACACATACCCTAGAGTCTTGGGATTTACAAAATAAAATATCTACTTCACTTTATCTCATTCTCTATCATAATTTGGTTCCTCAGGGATCTGTCAGTTATATATCCACACTTTATGTTGTGAATAAACAATGGGTTGGCCTTTTCACCATTTATGTTTACCTCTAACAATGATGTCAGCAACAGCAGATAAACGTTCTAGAGTTGTTCGTACTGTGCAGAGATATTTTCCTGAATGACTTAACTGAATATTCCTTATCATCAAATCCCCAACAGATTCCTATAGATAGAAAGAGGGAAAGGGCTAAAATATAACCATACATAGTAGGCAAAGTAAGTCCCAATTTTTTTAAACAGCTGCATAAATACGAAATATAATTCAGGTCTGAAATCAGAAGATATACTAGGATTATTGTCATTTCTCTTGTTTGGTAGATTTTATTATCTACTTTATTATACTTGCATATAGAAAACAAATCTATGAAAGGCATAAAACAAAATGAAACAAAAACAGATGCACTTCCATAAACAGACAGTGATTATCCGTGCAAGTAAAGATGGGGAGAATAATTATAAAAGATGATGTTTCATGTAAAAGACTTTTATTCATTTTATTAATCACTTAATATTTTCAGCTACTTACTCCTCCAATCTTTTCAAAATGAGCCACTTGTTTTTGTAAGTCTATGATATTTCCATTGAAAGACCATGCAAATACAACTTCAATGGAGGGGTCATGGGACACTTGGCAAGGTAGGACAATACTCTCACCAACTGTGACATCCATTTTAGAAGGTGGGACAGTAATAATAGTCCTCTCTGTTGAGAAAAATAAACATTGTGTTTTTTAAAGTTTCTAAAAATGTTAGAATATAGATATAAAGTACAAATATCTGAATATTATATAAAATTTGAAGCAACTTGGAATTCAACTACATTTTGCATGGAAATCTGTATACTTTTTCAAATTTCCCATATTTATTATCATAGAGCTTATTAATTACAATAAAATTAAATATATAGTATTTTTCATGTGTTTGGAATAAAGTTAACGGAAAGATGTAGAACCTCAAAAGACAGCATTCCATACATGTATAATGTACCATACTATCTTTAATTTTTATTCTAAAATTGTAGTCATAACATTATAACTGATACATTGGTCATAAATCTAAGTAGTCTATGTTAGCTTAAGACACGATGAGACAAACTATGTCCCTGTAATTAGAAGCAGCATAGATAGTAGGTAGTATTATAATCATAACATGCTACATTTCTCTTTCTGACGTACCTTTGGTAATAATTTCCTACTCTAGCTAAAGACACAACACAAATTGGAAAGATGGAAGCTTTCCTTTTTAAATCTAGATTTCACCATGTTACATTATACATTCATCATAAAAACCACCCTACTAGAAGTATCAGTCTCAGTGTCAATCCTTGTTCCACAAGTCCTAGTATTTAATTGACCAAAAATTCAAAAGATAATTTCAAGAGAGTTGAGTACTATAGTACTCAAAATTCCTTTATTTTTATAACTATAAAACACTCACAAAGATAATCATTTTTGTTACATTTAAAAATAAAAGCTATTATTTTAATTCCAGAACTTTGAGAAGTATCCAAAAAGGCAATTCGGTATCCATAAGTGGATCCTGAATATACATCTAGATTTACATATGCCCCATCTTACCAAAATAAAAACTTTTAAGGAATTTACATGCAAGAATAAAGGTTTAGGGCCAGGGATTTAGCTCAGTGGTTCCAGAGCCTGCTTCACAAGCTCAAGGTCCCAAGTTCGATCCCCGGTACCAAAAAAAAAAAAAGAGAGAGAATGAAGGTTTAACACAAATTATTGTGGAAAAAATATTACACATGAAGATGTTTCAAAATAGTGAAATGACCTGTGAGAATATCTTTCTCCATAGGTCATTCATAAGATAAAGTTTAGTCCTTTAAAAGATTTAACAAAAGCTTTAACTTCTTCTGGATCCTTTATTCTGATCAAAACACCAAAGCAGCATTAAGATAACATTCATATATTCAGGTAGATTAGTGTGTATTTTGCTTTGAATATTCCCACCAAACATCATGTTGGAATCTCGTGCCCATTATGAGCTAAGAGGTGGGGCCAGGTGAAACTTTTATAAAAACAACTAGGTCACAAAAGCTTTGGGTTATCTTCAGAATGGTTCTGTTATAAAAACCAGTTTGATTCTGTCTCTTGCATGGGTTCCACTTGCTGTGTGATGCCCTAATGCTGCCTCTGGGCTCTGCAGACACTTCCCTTCAGCATGAAAGCTCTCACTAGATGTAGCCCTTTAAACTCCGGACTTCTAGTCTTCAAAATAGTAAGAAATAGAAGACATGATGTAAATATATGGCAAAAAATTATTACAATGAACAATACATTGCCATTAACCCCCCCTGAAAATACTCCCCCTAATTTCAAACACACTTATCCCATTCTACACGTTACTTTCTGAAGTAGTTTTGGAAGTCCTTTTTCATGTCTATGAAGTGTAATAAAACATATGACGAATGAAGCTTTTGTATCCCATCCAATTGAAAGACAAAATTGTAAAAATATTACAGTGTTTCATCAGATCTGGAACTATGTGCCTGCTGGCTCTTCCTTAAAAGTCAAATGATCATATAAGGTAAATGTTTTTAATTGATTCATGATATTGAGGCAGCCAGGACAGTATAAGTAAAGAAGCTCACAAGGCCCGCCTTCATCTGGTGCTCCTCTCCTCGGGTCAGCCAAGCAGCATGAAGCTCCTCGGCTGTGTCCGGTTCCTGCTCATGGCACGGTGAGGTCCCAGGAGCGGCTTGGAGCCCCACCTTCATCCTGTGCTCCTCTCCGCAGGTCAGCCAAGCAGATGAAGCTCCTCGGCTGTGTTCTGGATCCTGCCCATGGCACGGTGATGACCCGGGGGCGGCTGGGAGCTCCGCCTTCATCTGGTGTTCCTCTCCCCAGATTAGCCAAGCAGCATGAAGCTCCTCAGTTGTGTTCCGGTTCCCGCCCATGGCACAGTGAGATACCAGGAGCGGCTTGGAGCCCCGCCTTCATCTGGTGCTCGGTTTAGCTGCGCAATTCCACCCCCCACCCCCACCC